TCTCTCTCTGTCAAATAAATAAATAAAATCTTTAAAAAAAAAAAAAAAAGAAAAGAAATAGCCAGAAGGATCAGAAACAGAAGCCCTGAATTCTCTTCATTGTAAAATCACCACTGAGGGTGTGTGGATTTGCTCCTAAACTTCTAAGCTCTATTCATCACATAAAGCCCTGCCTGGTTGTGGCTGGTTGTTCTGTGATTTTCTTCAGTAGTGCTAGCAGATAAATTATCCGGTGTCTCTATACTATCCCACATTGGCTCTCCCTGCCCAGTCTTTTCTTGTCTGGTCCCAGCTGGCAAATAAGAACTTCAAGGTCTGAAAACTAGGAATGTTGCTCTGCTAAAGTTAGCTGTGAGATTGTTAGATGAAGCATGTTTGTAGACATGAGTGGTGTGTTTTCTCTTTATAGGAGGAGCCCTGATATCCAAGCAAAAGAAGAGTTATGGAAGCATATTCAGTAAGTACTGCTTTTTTCTTATTATTGTTCTAAAACCCGTGTAGTGTTAAGGCATTTACGAGGAAGACCACTGGACACCAAGAGGCAGCCTCTGGCTGAAGCCTCTCCCATGGTCTACTTTGCCATCATTGTGTGGAACACCGCCCTCCCATGGTGGTGCCTTCTCAGGCCAGCAGCCCCTCTGTAGGTAGTCCTCTCTTTAGACCAGTTAGCCTTGCCTGTAAATGGGCCTCAGACTGGCCAATAGTTTACAAATAAATACCAAGGAAAACAGATTCAGAAGGAAAAAAGATGCCTACTGCAGGGGAGAGAAGCCGATTTTTTGTAGGGAGATAATGGGTGGAGAGTCCTCTACATTCTGGATATAGAAAAACTGGAAAAAAAGAAGAGCTATAGAAAAGGGTCCCCCCCCCCCCCGTTTTTCCTTGAATACATTCTAGTTTTTTAATCTTTGTTCCTGGCTTATGTTTCTCTTAGTTTTACTAACGTTGTGTTTTGGGACACGATTAGGAAGGGAAAACCCATCTGCCGATTGTGAAAGGTATTAGTATTTATATCAGCATCATAACTTTAATTTTCTTGCACATTCCCTTCTAGAAAGGAACTTGTGGATCCTTCTGGATTGTCTGAAGAACAATTAAAAGAGATTCCATATACTAAAGTAGAGTACGTATGTCTTTGAAAATCTTTCCACAAAAGTTTTATTAATACTTATTAGTAAATAATCCATTCTTACTCTTCATTGGTGTTGCATCAAGTGCTTTAATTTGTCTTTGCGTTTTAACTAAAATTACAACTTTAGGGAAAGAGGTAGAAAAGGGTGTATTAAAGCTAATTGATATTCTGTCCTACAGTCACTATCATCTCCTATTAACTGCCTGTTTGTATGTGGTAGCTACAAAGGGGCTTTTGATGATTAATGTCAGTTTTAAAATAAAAATTCCTTTTTTGAGATATTCACTGATGGGTAACAATGTTTCTTCCTATTCATTACTTTAATGCCCAGAGAATTATATTGGCCACAAATCCTTTCATATAAGCCCAACCCAATCCCTGTCATAGAACTAGCACATTGAACATGCTTCATGGAAGCATAACAGGACTCCCTAATCATTCAGTATAGGATGCAGCATAAGATGATCTATTTACTCTGTTTTCTGCCCTGCTATAATTAGTTAAGAGAAAGTGGGATTCTACTTCATTGCTTCATGTCCCTCTGTAACCCATGCTTGCTTCCCACTCTGGTCAAACAGCAGGTTTGTACACACCCTCCCCAACTCCCATTCCTACCTCTCCTTATCTTTGGGCCAAAGATTGAATTCTTAATGACAGGCTAATTAGTAGCTAGGACAAGGACCAACTTTTTCTGGTAGGAATGCCATTTTGTCTGCATTGTAGGTTTTTTTTTTTACCCACTTTTGGAAAAAATTGAACTGGGAATAGTTTCATTAAAATTTTTTCATTTAAGAGAAAATATATATATACCCACGTACATACAAATACTAGAGTGTCATTTTCATGTGTGGTCAAAGGAGAAGTGTTCTGTTGTTAGCTTGTGAAATTTAAACCACTTAGGCTTTACAGGCTCAGAGGGATCAAGTTCTTTTTAAACTCTCGAAGTCTTATTCTTCTGTGGTTTCCACCTTAAGGGAAAATTCCAGATTATCCTGTTCTGACTTCTGGTTTGTTTCCACACTTTTGGCTGCTTGTTCAGGACTCAAGGTGACCCAGTCCGCATCAGGCATTCCCATTCGCCGCGAAGTTACCGCCAGTATCGCCGGTCCCAGTGTTCAGATGGAGAGCGATCTGTTCTCTCGGAGGTGAAGTAAGTAGGCAAGCGTGAGTACATCATCCCCTCCACGGTTCCGGCTCCAGAACAGCACAGTATAATGGGATTTTCTGCAATGATGGAAATGTTCTGTATCTGTGGCTATTATTTGAAAGGTGGCTAGAGTGACTGAGAAACTGAAAATGTAATATTATTTTTAATCAATTTAAATTTAAATAGCCCTGTGCGGCTAGTGGCAACCATATGGGATGGCACAGAGCTAGACCATACTTAGGCTAAATCATGACACCTCCAAGCTATGCACTGAAACTTTTATTTATTTATTTTTAAGATTTTTATTTATTCATTTGACAGGGATAGAGAGAGAGAGCATGCCAGAGAGCACAAGTCGGGGCAGATGGCAGAGGGAGAGGGAGAAGCAGGCTTCCCAGTGAGCAGGGAGCCCGATATGGGGCTCGATCCAGGACCCTGGGATCATGCCCTGAGCCAAAGCAGACACTTAACTGACTGAGCCACCCAGGCGCCCCTGCCCTGAAACTTTTGGAAGAAGAAGATGTATGAACTATTCTGTTATGAATAATGCATCCTTATTTGAGAGAAGTGGCATAAGTTTCTTTCTGATCAGAGGACATTTTCTTTTACTACAGTAAATATGTGTTGCAGTCATTTCTTTGTATTTAGTTTTTCTTTTGAGGAAAGTGACCATTTCTCACACTATGGTCACAATAGGTGCTATATTTTAAATGAATATGCTAACGAAATAATTATGCATCATGTACTTGGTATTGCTGGGTAGGAATGTTAATCATTGAACTCTGAATTAAGGCTCAAAATTTTAAATTGGGAGATAGACTAACAATAAATTGGGAGGTAGACTAACCCAGCAGAGAGAGGTATAGGCCAGGTTTTGTTTATTTTTTGTTTTGTTTGTAAAATGTAGAGCCTGGCTATTTATAGCCTCATAGGTTTATAGAAAAAGAATAAATGGCCAATAAATGCTTCTCTGGAAACAAATCAAAAAGCCATTTATACATGTCACAGTAACAAAAGCACATGGGAACCACACCTGTTTTATTCTTGGTTCTCCTATTTATTTGCTGTGATTTTGAACAAGTTACCTAACCTGCTCAACTTAATTCAAAAACATTTATTAAACACCTCTCTGTGTAAAGCACTGTGTAGGCACTGTAAGGAATATGAAGGTTTATAAAACATGCTTTCTATCCTGTAATCCTCTTCCAGCTCAAGTTGGGATTCTAGGTACTGTTTCAATCCTTAATTCTAAAACAAATTCTCTGCAGTTCAAAAACGGATCTTGTACCTCCACTCCCTGTGACCCGTTCTTCAGATGCTCAGGGTTCTGGTGGCTCCACGGTTCATCAGGTTGGTAATAAAGTTTTAAGGTGTTGGTACTGATGACAGTTTTTCAGAAGCACTTTTCTGAAAGGTCTTTTGGGGGAAATAGAGCAATGGATCTCTAACTTCACTTTGAGATTCTGTAATTTTAAAAGAAGGTATACCGAGTGTGGAAGAAGGAAGGAGGGTTACATGATCAAGGCAAGGCACAACGTGGGTAGAGTTATGTTAGAAGTGAGAGCTAGAGCTAGTGCAAGGTCTCAAGTGATCTGATGCTTGGAGCAAAGCCAAGGATAACAGGGATGGTAAGATTGTTTGGAGCCAGAATGAAGAAACAATGGTTTCACTAATTAAAAAAAAAAAAAAAAAAAAAATTCTTTTAGATGTTTTTTGAGCCAGAGAAACAAGGAGAAAGTGATAGACTCACAGCGGGCAGATGTTCTATTGTTAGAACTAATGGCAGACAGGAGAATTACTCAAGTCCTATTTCATTTCTGTCTTCTCCATCAAAGAGAATTACTTTTGTTCTGGAAATGTTTAAGAAAATGTGGTTAAAAGGGAATTCAAGGACACAGTAGAGCATCTAGCTGCCTTAACAAAATCGATTTCATACTCAGCTGAATTAGATAGATCAGGAGAGCACTGTCACAAACATATTGCAGCAAGGTGTTTAACACCATCTCTCATGGTAAATAAGAGAAAATAGTAGGTTGTGTAAGATCACTGGATGGATTTATATCTGGTTAAACCTTCACTCTAAGAACAAAGTTGATGTTTATAATGGATCAATGTCAGCCCACTGTTCGCAGTGCGTGGTTTTCAGTTTTTAGATCCTGGATCCCTGTGGAAAGCAATTATAACTGCTGTTTCTGTCCCATAAAAATGCATGTAAGCACATACATAGTTTTGTATGTAAATTCAGGGAGTTTATGGACAACTTAAGAAAATGGACTCCAGCGTTACTTGTCATATGCTGCCCTTTGTTTCTCCTGATTCATTTTTGTCATTGACTTGTGCAGGGACAGAAAAGCCTGTGCTGATTTAACTTAGGCTCCCTGGGAAGAGATTCTGAGATTGAGTTTTACAAGGAGGGTTTATTGGAAAAGACTCTTAGGATCAACACTTGGGAAGTGAAAGACAGGCAAGAGTGGAAGTGTGTGGTGTACTCCCAATAAAGCATCAGCTGATTCCACAGGGAGCTCTAGAGCTGAGATGGTCCATTCAGTCCCTCCCACCTGGACACAAAGCTCTTGGGCCTTTACACACTCACATTCACCATGGAGCAAGTCACTCGATAAGGGGTGCCCTGGGGGAGTTTCTGGGGAAGGGCTCAGTTTTTGAGCTGTAGGGCAGCCAACACTCCCAGCAGCTGGGGGAGTGAATGCCTCAGTCCAGAATGGAGATCAGGGTAGTTGATCCCAGCTTCCACCAAAATCTGCCTCATTTTTGATTAGATAGATCTGGGAGAGCTAACAAGTTGCCCAAACAATTTGTTTCAAGTCAGTAGTAGTTTTAAAAAATTTATATTCAAGATTAGTTTAGGCTTTGCATTCAGATTGACCTGCATTTTTGTCTCCTTGTCTCCACATAGCACTTGTGTGACTTTGGACAAACCGTTTAACTTCTAAACTTCAATTTTTGTACAATGTAGGTAGTAACCCTGTTAAGGTTACTATGAGGATAAATAAGCATTATTTGTCAGAACTTTTTGAAGTTGGACTCAGTACAAATAAGAATCTTATTTTATCGTAGTTTTGCTTTTCCAACTATTCTAGACTCCCTAATCACCATCACTTAGGAATCTCCAACTTAGGCACATTGAGAGAATAGCTCTCACTTTGCTGCGTACAAGAACAACTCCCGTGCATCTTCTTACCAGTGGCACTGATTCTAAGCTTCTCTGTGTGACACCTTTGACTTTGAATTCAACAAACATCTAATGAGCAGATGTAAAGAGTGACAGGCACTGGTTGGGTAGTCAGCAGACTAGTCTATAGGCTAAATCTGGTCTGCCTGTTTTTGTACAGCCCAGGAGCTGATAATGGCTTTTCCATTTTTAAAGGGCTGTTTTAAAGAAAGGGTGGGGGAGGGGGGCAACATGTAACAACAACCAGATGTAGTCCACAGTCTGGCTCTTCACAGAAAAATATTTGCTGACTCCTGGCCTAGACATATAACACATAAAACAGGCAAAATTAAAAAAATTAGGTAAGCATTATGAAGAAACAAAGGGCGGAGTTAGCAAATCAACAGGTGACCTCACCTTACAGAGATGAGTGGTCAAAGAAAGCCATCTCAGAAACCGAAGTGTAAAGCTGAAACCTTGCAGGGGAGGAGCCATCCATGTGCAGAGGGAAGAGCGTGGGAGAAAACAGTCTGTAAAGGGCCTGAGTGTTTGAGCTGAAAGCCCTGTGTGGTCTCGGCCTGGTGCGGGTGGGGGCAGATAACACAGGGCTTTAGACACCACAGAAGAAGTCTGGATTTTATTCTAAGTGCCAAAAAGAACCCATTGATCCGGCTGCCATGTGGAGAAAGGACTTGAGTGACATAGGGAAGCAGCAAAGCTGCATGTCCTAGTTCTGCCAGGGTGCCAGAGGTCTGGTAGTGTCTTGGCCTGCCTCCACCTCACCTCACCATGCAGAAGGCTGGTAAAAGTGGGATGGATGAGGGACTCTGATTCACTTTATTTCCTTAAGATACGCAGGCAGAGGGGACAGGGTTAATGGTGGACTAATTTACAAGGTAGTGGCTTGTTTTAGGTAACCTCCTTGCTCCTTTTCCAACTCCTGTATTAGCTTTCCATCCCCCTGCACTGACACACTGTAGGGTCCTTCTGATTATCTAGAAATCTTCCATTTCCAACAGATGTCTCACACTCTAAAATGATCTTGATTCAACCTTGGAGCTTAGTTTAGGAATAACTACACAGAAGAATGACACTTAATTGGCATACTTGACTTTTTTTTTTAAAGATTTTATTTATTTGACAGAGAGAGACACAGTGAGAGAAGGAACACAAGCAGGGGGAGTGGGAGAGGGAGAAGCAGGCTTCC